TTACCAGGGTATTAATGCCAGCAGGGAAAAAAAAAACAAAAAAAAAAAAAAAAAAAAAAAAAAAAAAAAAAAAACAAAAAAAAAAACAACAACAACAACAACAAATTTATGTGAACTAGAAGAAATTCTCAGCTCACAAAGTGGGCAAACCAGCTAATCGAACGGAGTAGCGGCACATTTTGGGAATAACCGTTAAACGGGTTTCTTACGGAGCTGTTATCTGATCAGATCAATCAAGCGTTTACAATCGTTAATCGATAAGTTCATATCGAGCATGCATAGAATTGTCTTGAATGGGAATTAAATTGATTCGGCAAGGAAGCAAATTTCTTTCGTTTATTGTTTTGCTGATCTAATCAATGAAAAGCTTCGCTATTGAGCTTTCGGCAATCACTATCGATACATACATATCTACAGGGATGTGTGTATGTACACATGTGACTGTATTGTGAAGTGTGGCACAGTGTGCTGAAACAATTAGTAAATTAGCTAAATTGGGATGTTGACTACACGCATTTTAATTGATTTCGCATGTTTTTTTGATGATGTTTAATAGGCGAATAAAGGAAAATATATAGTATATTAGCACAATATACATATGCAGAGTCCAAGCGGCAAAACCTGACGGCAGTAGTTAATCTAGCAAAGCTACGCTCCATTTACGCTGCCAGTCACGCAAGAGGGAGAGAGAGAGAGATGGGAGTATTCTACACATAAGTGTGTCACAATTAACAATACAGAATTACGCGTTAATCAAGCGCAAAGACACAAGCACACACTAACACACACGCACATACAGTTATGTATGCCTGCAGAGAGCAGACAGTTTAATTAAGTTTTTTGGGCGATGTTGAGCCACTGTCGTTGCGGATGCGGATGGCGTTTCAATGGTAAATGGTAAATGGTAAATGGCCAAAAGCTGCGATATGAATCAGCTGCTGCCAAAAGTGCGCAATTTCCTATACGTCTTGTTAATGTTGTTGTTGTTTCATTTTTTGTTTTTTGCAGTTTGGCCCACTGTTATTGTTGCTGCCAGTGAGAGACAACACAACCAGCCATAAATTGCAAAGTACCGTTTTGACCGCGGCACTCAGTTAGCATACTAAAGTATGAGAGCGAGAGAGAGAGAGGCAAAATAAACAAGAATCACCCGTTGTGAGAGCGTCAAACTAAAAGAGAGCCAAAGCTAACGCATCACAGTGGGAGGGAGAGCGTGAGCGCCCCGTGATGACAGCGGGCTTCTTATGTGTGCGTATGTATGTGTGTGTGTGTGTGACTGTAATGAGTTGTGTGAGTCATGCTGAGAGCGATGTTAATGTCGCTGCTGATGAAGGTAAAAATCAACAAAAATTATAATAATAATAATAATGGAAAGTATTTAAAAAAAAAACGAACGAAAGAAATAGACAAGAGAGACGACGTACATCCAGACAGTAGACTGTTATTTAAATAGATAGACAGCAGATGATGTTGTTGATGGGGCGATAACATGTGGTTAAATGGATTAAAAAAGGCGTGAAGCGCACCAAGCACAAAAACCAAAGAGAGTGAAAGAGTGTGCGAAGGGCGGCGCTGGTGGGGAGAGCGAAAACAAAAGCAGCAGCATAGCAGCTAAATGAGCCGCAGCCGGAACTTGATGATGGTTCAGGCAAGCGCCATTCCAGCCTCAAGGTGAAGTTTTATGAGTGCTACTCTTCTTTTTTTTTCTTTGCCTGCATCTCTTTTGCATGTGGGCGAAATTGAAAATGAAATTGTGAAAATATGTTAGTGTGCGTGTGTGTTTAGGTCAGCTACTGCAATTTATATAAACTAAAACGAATTATGGGCTGGTTGTTAATGAACTTTTTTCCATGCTCTTTTTTTGCCTCTACGTCAATGAGTTTCACTTGCAATTTACCTACAGCGAAGTTAACGGATGTGCATGTAAGTAACAGAGCAATGTTAAGTATTACATTTGATATATAAATTCAAAGCTTATTTGTGATTGCATATTGTTAATAACATAGCTCTGTTAAATAACATAGTATGGCTTATTTGCAAGCATGCATGTACTGTGAACAAGTGATCTCTGTTATCTATAACTACTGTAAACTACTACAGTTTACATGATCACATTTCACATGCATATTCTTCTAATAAGACATTGCCATTAACATTACAAAAGCATTTTATGGATTGTTGACATATAATATAAGTGTAGTATTAAACTAACTGTATTTTCCATAGTCTAACAGTTTACAGCTCGTTTTATTTTTGCAATTTTAAAGTCTGGTTGAGAACTCACATCTATTAAGCACAAGTTCAAATTGGACTCCATTGTCATAGTTTTTGGCATCTTCTTACCAACAACGCTCGATTCTTGGAAACAGAAATTTCCGTTGACCTCTGGCGCTCTGCCATTGGCCACTGGCCATTGGGGCCAGCCCCCGCCGGAGTTGTGTTCCAAATTTTGTAACAGATGCCAAGAAGAGCTAATGGACAAATAATTACACTCAGCAACAAGAGCAAAAGAAACGCTTTTGGCCTCACTCAGAATGGGGCATTTGAAGAGGAGCAAGAGGTCGGAGGGGCAGGGAGGGGGTTTTATCCAGTTGGTTTTATGTCAATTGCTTATGCATAATTACCGCAATAGAATAGACAACGGCATTTGACAACAGTAACGAATACACCGTGAGAAATTTGTGGTTAACAGGAGAGAAGAATTAAATTTAAATATAAACTAATATTCGATAATATAATGTTTTTTAGCTAACTAAAAATTTCACGGTAAAAAATTAAAAGTGATATAATAATAAAGCAAAGTTATACTAATACTCCATTCAAATATTAATTAATCATAGATATTGGAGTTCAATTTAAAAAGAAAGAAAAAATTAACCGTGGGATTCCAAGTCGAATCAAATCTTGCAAATTAAAATAGCATTTTAAATGTTAGTCGATTAGTGGAGCTCAAATGCAAATTTCAATTAATTTTTTTCAGCAATTTTTTGATTGAATTTCATTTGGTTATATAATTTTTTATAATTGAATAGTTATATGTTCATTTAGTATAAATATTTTGTTTATGTAATTTTATTTTATTGATATTTATTAAAGTTTTGCTTTTATTATTTATTATACCCTGAACCCATTGAAAATGGGAAATCAGGGTATAATGTTTT